TTTTTAGCCCTGCTGTACCCATAATCGAGATCCTTAAGCCTTGTCAAAGTCCATCAAACCTGGTCAAACTTTCTAAAACCCCAAACCCCAAACCCCAAACCCTAAACCCTAAACCCTAAAACCCGAAAACCCGAAAGCCTAAACCCTAAAACCCTACACGTTAGGTCGAGGTCCGGCTGCTCTAGTCCCAGACTCTGCTGCACAGTGCACATGAGTAGCTCTCTACAGTAGGGTTTAGGGGTTGAAGGGTTTAGGGTTTAGGGTTTAGGGGGCTAGGGGTTAGGGTTTACGGTTTAGGGGTGGATAATGTAGTTCATATGGGTCGTTAGGGTCTCTTTTCAGGTCCCCAAAATAGTACGGCACCCTTTACAAGAGGGGCTTGTTGTCTGAGGGCATGGAAGGCTGCTCCTGCGGTATGGTTGGGTTTAGGGTTTAGGGGTTGAGGGTTTAGGATTTACGGTTCATAAAAAACGTTCGTCGATTCCTAATTCCTCTGCGTCTACCTCCACTGCGGCATTTCGTCGGCATGAGTCCCCGCGGACTCAGGCAGCTTATGGAGAAGAACTTTGTCTACGCGAGCGAACTCCTACAACACAGTGTTTGCTTCGCAATATCCGTGTTACTTTATACAGATGGCACAAGAATGATTCGCATTGGTGGCACTCTTGTCTACGTGGTGCATGCTTCTGTTGCACACAGGTTTGTGAAGATGTCGGCCGTCCACATTAAGGCTTACCTTGCTGTCCTCTTTATTATAGGAGCTACTGAGACTTTGGAAACCAGACACATGGATCCTTCGGACGTCGCCGTCATGCAGACCTTAAATGCTGTCTTCCGCGTTGGCATGGTGGTCCTGCATATGGATCCTCACATTCATGCCGTGGGTCAGATGGTGATGTCAGGATGTGATATCCTGATCAAGATTCTGATGCATGGCTTCACCCCCGGCGTAGTGGCCTATGTCTGGGTCGAGGTTTTTGTGGCAACAGGAACTGTCATCCTGAGCATCTCGCTGGAGTACTACATGAGGGAGACCTTAGCCGCGCAGTTTAGGTCCCAGGACGCTGAAACGATGGTCGCAGGTTTCCGCAGAATGCTTCGTGGCATCTGTGATGGTGAGGTGCTGCTTGACGGACAGCTCAGGATCAAGGGCCCCTGCGGCTGCATCAATCAGATTCTGTGACCAGGTCTCTGAGTAGTGCCCTTTTATCTTTGTTCGGGAGTCTCAACCCTAAACCCTAAACCCTAAAGCCTAATCTCTTCATTAAAATCGAAGAGTAGAAAAAAGGTAAGAGGCGACTGGGGAGCCGAGGTCAAGTCATGGGGACTTTGAGGGCAAAGCCTTTCCGGCTCTGCTCATGGACTGTGAGGAGGAGCACGCCCGGTTTCGCGATTTCATTGCCACGTCCTGCAAGCTGCTGGGTTCTTGTCAAGGGATGTTTTATTTCAGTTACCATAATAGGGATCTATAGTAAATAATAGGGTTTCCTTATTGTGGTAACTTAAATAAAGTCCCCTAACAAGAACCCAGGCTATGCGCATGCCCGGACATGCAAGGAAGCATGCCGCCCTGCCTCAGTGCCTCTCTGCAAGGCGAGCAGAGCACGCGGGTAGGTGTGGACCTTTTCCATGTCTCTCTCTCCAACCTCTTCGGCTCGGGGGAAGACTACCACCTCCTTGCATTGAGACAGGACAAGGGGGGCAAGAGATTGAAGTTGAGAAACTCGGGCCTTAGGGGTCTAGCGTGTTTGGGGTGTTGGGGTTGAGAGCTTAGGAGTTTGTTATTTGGGTTTTCTGTTTTTGGGGTTTGGGGTTGAGGG